AATCTAGCATAATACTCTTACCTCATTTATTTACGATTTTATGAGCTGTTTCGAGGATCAAGTTATGCTCTACCACATTTTAGCCAGATTTAATTTGCAGTTTATAAACTTCTCTCCATCATTATATCAGTTGCATGACAAGCGTGACACAAAAATTCAAAGATGGATCAACCTCCGAATTACCAAGAGATGGGTTTTTTTTCCCTCTTTGCATATCTATGAAAACCTTCCAAGAATTACTGCATTCAAAAAACTACATGTCCAGATCCATCAATGATTCCTTTGCCGGTGGAAGTCAAAGAATGTTCACAAAAGTCAATTCGATTGACAAGCTACATACTGATTTAGCTATTTGATCTGTTGTATAAGCGTTTCATCTTACATACTAACAAGTTTTGCTGACAAAACTTTTTTCTCTTCACCGAAAATCACATCAAATTTTGTCCTTGCTAAATTTCAAGTGTGCTGCACGTATCAGCACCCCCCGAGGAACCCCTATACATAAGAGGGCGAGGGTGCGCGCCGGGAATTTCGAAAATGACCCATGTAAAATTATAAAAGGTACCTGAGTCTTATCTGTGTGGGAGTGGCAACAAATGATGTTTACCCCTAAAAAGTACCAATTTATAAAAAAAAAAAGGAAAAATCCTAAAAATAAAAACTCCTTTATAGATATGCTCCAGAGGCTCAAGTCAGATCATTAAAATCGTCCTAGTAATGATTATTTCAGTTATTTTATTGAGCGAAAAACATCCTAAAAGGTATCAGCTAGGCCTCTGGTAGTCCACTAAAGTTTGAGACATCGTAAAAGGTACCAGATCACTGAGTTTGACCCCTGAAAGGTACGACAAGCATCTTCACTCATATCCGATCGCCTGATGACTCGTTTCGAATAATTTTATTTTGCTATCATGTGGCGATCGGGATGAACTCGTTCTTGAACAAAACTCATTCCTATATGATGTAAAAAGCCCCTAAGAGTTTTTATTCCCAGAGCATCACGCTTTGCTCTCCCGCCAGAACACTGTAAAATTCAATATGCGCTGCTACTGAAACAACGATTACCGTATGTTTTCACCTATAAGCCGAGCGATTTTTCAGTATTTGACAAAAAAGTTTGGGAAATTTTTTCACAAGAAACGGGCTTCTGCTTATAGCCAAGGGTTTGGAATTCAAAAACAAGTACAAATCAAGTGTTAATGCGAAATGACCGTAAATTCCATGACTGAAGCGCTCTTTACATGACATGCTTTAAAATTGACATGACAACAACGTATTCTGACCACCAATCAGATTCTTTGCTTCCCACCCATTGAAAGACGATCTCACTCAACTCAGCAAAAACTCTTCTCATTTCACATTACAAATGAAATATTTGGTCTCTCTGCCGTAAAAAACACTCCATCGCTTGTTCGTCTAGTTTAGGACACTTGGGAGTGAAACGGCTCATTTTTGCACGTCTTGTAGACATCTCAAGCTTGCCAGAAAGAAGAGTCGCCTGGTCTCGTCTCCAGCGTCGCACCATGGACTCGTTAAGTCCGACCCAGAGGATAGCCCTCCAGCATCACAACTCGAGCCAAGGCACGATCACAATACAATGTAAATACACGTGAAAGATCACGTTCGCCCTTGAGGAACACTGTAAATACTGATGTCGACAGGATAGACAAAAACGAAGCTATCCTCGACGTCAAAACTCACTACAAACCGACCGAGACCTTTCAATATACACACTATTCATCTTGCCACCCGCCAGGTGTTAAGAAAGGCTTTATTAAAGGAGAAGCTATCAGACTTCTAAGAACAAACTCCTCGGAAAGAAATTTCCAGGAGGCCATGTGTAACTTCAAAACGACTTGAAGCACGTGGTTACCCAAAAAGCCTAATTGAAAAAACGTTATCTGAGGTCTCGTTTGCCGCAAGGCAGTCGACCCTTAAAACAACAAAAAAACTAAAGGCAAAATATTGCCTTTTGTGACAGCATACCACCCAGGGGTTAAAAATTTAAAACAAATACTGATGCAAGAATGGAACCTCATCCAAAATCAGCCACTGCTGAAAACAATTTACAAAACGCCTCCGATTATATCATACAAAAGAGGTAAATCGCTCAAAGACATACTCGTCGGAGCAAAGCTTTAATTAAAGGCTTTTGCGTCGCAAACGTAAAACCACACAGGGGAGTCTGTGTAGGCCTGTCTATGACCTTTTCATCAAGCCCAGGATATTACATGACGGAAAAAATACAATCGCATATGACAAGAAGATTGGCCTCTCACCTGTGTTTCCAAAACCTTTGTCAGTTGACTTGCTACAATAGAATTTGGTGACGGTGGCAGTTTCATATTCTCGAAGAATGAACTCTGCTGACCTGACATCCTTCACCAGACCTGACCTTTCAGACAACTTTCTCTCAAACAATGAACTCACTTCTTGAGAAGTTAATTTACGTGCCATAATAGAATTTGAAATTTTGTTCGGAAAGCGAAATTATCTATTGGAATACGAATTGAGTGAGCAAACAGATACTTTGATATGTCGCACGATAATAAATTTCCCGCCTTTGCGAGTTTGGACCATTCAATCGTCTGGGAGTTAATCGACCGTATCATTTATCTTTCCTCTCCATTTCCGGTGTTTAAAAATCCTCCTTTTGACAGATTTCGTGGAGGTGTTACTATGTTGTGGTTGTAATTGGCCATCCTTGAAAAGGAGGCATCGCAAAAAATTTTGTGGAGTCTGAAATAAAGGTAAGCAACGAAAAAAAAAGGACATATCTTACGCCTGATACGAAGTCATGTGCAAAAACGAAGCACGTGTTCGTTTCTACTCTGTTTTGCGGTTCTAATATGCTGAATGGGGCCTTTAACACGAAGACAACATCGGGCGAGCTCGGATTTCGTAATCAGAAATCGGAGTACGCTTTCCTAGCGCCTGAGCGGGAAGCTCAGGCGCCATAATTATCTTGTAATTGGCTAATCAGGTTAGTAACCATGGCGACACCAATATCATTACACGGGAAAGATAACAAATAGTATCTTCACCGCACGCGATGAAGATATGATTTTTTAGCAAAAAGAATTATCCTGGTATTTCATCAGTATCTATATAATAAATCCTGAATCTTACTTATAACTATTCAGTATCAATAGAGAATTCATAAGCCTCAAGCCAAGAGACACTAGTAACCCATCAAAAGTTATGGATCAGTAACTTCTGCATACCGGCACGGGCGCTCAGCTAAATGAACTCTTTGCTTACCTGTTTGCATCGCACCAAGTTTTAACTCATCGAGCAGGTTAACGTACACAACACCAAATGAGTTGTGAATTCCGAATACCACAAAATTTACGATGAAAGTCCCACAGCAGACTATCCAGCCATAGCCGCCGTCTCGACTTGTCGATTTCCCTGTAAGTCCATCATCTGCTCGGTTTTCGCTTTTCATTTCTCGATCACAGAATATTGATTAGCAACCCGAACCTAGCTTGTGAAACTCTTTTTGCTTTTGTGCTTCTCAAGATACAAATAACAAACCAGCCAAACACTTTTGCGAAGTTTCTCGGAAAGAACTTGGTTGCTCTACTTGTTTGTTTACCAACCGGGCGCGCTAATTACGAAATGAACCTACCTCAACTTGTGCGTACGTCACGTCCCGTGACGTCACGCTAGTTACACGCTGTGTGACTTGAGTCGACTTTTATCCCTTGTTAGCGCAGATCTTTTACGTTTCAGTAACGTTTTTTAACATGCTTTTTTTTGTTATCGCATAAAGTAATTGGTCTGAACTTAACTTCGTGTTCCTTGACCTTGTCAGGTCACGCGATGTATGTGAAATCATGATGAAATATCGATGATATTCACGTAAACAATGCAGTAGTTAACCTTTGCTTCTGAAAATATCCCTGAGCCCCATTGCTGCCACTAAACTCTGAAACACGTACGTCCACGTGATATATGATATTTAATAAACTATAGCTTTCTTAAGGCGCGAAAATACGTACAGATATCAAGTTCCCAAGTCGTGAGCAGTTTTCAGAGAGCGAAGCTCCAGGAAAACTGCAAGGCTGAAGAACAGATCATTTTTACGGATAAATATGCATGCATATTTTAACGTTAACTGGAGGCCGTTGTATTTATTATCTTTCAAATAATTTAGCAACGCGCAGGAAAATGTTTACTAACAGCTGTCATTTTGCTTGGGATGTTTACTTTTCAGTGTTCTCCGGTTCGATGTCCCTTCTTCTGCATCTTGAATTGAATCTAAAACAACACTTTCGTTGTGGTAGACAAAACGTTCAAAAATTGGGGAATGTCCCTTGAGGTTTATCATGGGGATATTTTCTAGTTTTAGTTGGTTGCTGGGGCATATTCGATAACACTATGTGTTTAGATCCACCGTGTCAGAGCAAAATTATTTCATGGACACACTTCGCGAATGACGAAGTCGCTGTTGGTTTAAGATTTGCATCTGATTGGTTGGAAAAGAGGCCGAGTTTTTAGGACCAAGGACACAGCGGAATATAGCAAAACAAAGCAATCCTTGACAAGTTTCTACACTCAGTTGAAAATTGCTCTATCAGTAATCTAAGAATCTTTAAAAATACTATAAGACAGTTTCTCTCTCAACCAAAAGAAGTTTCTTGTTTGTTCTTAAAGCGCAGTGAAACTTGCAAAGTTTATTGGTGAAAATGTGCTCCTCTTCCAGCATCGGCTGTGATTCTGTATTTTTGTAAGCAGAGTCAGATGCCGTTTCAGCTTCAGAGATACTCAACGAAGAGTCGTTTTTAAA